GGCAAGGTGAGGGGCTGTCCCAGCACGGTGGGTGAGTCAGAGCCAGGCCTTGGCCCAGCATTTCTGACTCGGGTTCCTGGGGACCCCCTGGGCTCAGCCCTCCTACCTGGTGCTACTGCTGTGTTTTCATGGCCTTGCCTGCATCTGGAATGGTATTTACTACAGGTTAGAGGGTGTTCGGATGCTCCTCCATTGTCAGCAGGTTGAAGTCACCCTCTGTACTTCACCTGTAGCTCCCACCAGTCGGTTAGGATCCCTTACATTTACCACTGCTTTAAGGATACAGTGAAAAGTAATAAACCGAGTCTTTGGTCAAAAGACTGCTTATGTAAACAAGAACGTTTTCCTCATATTCAGTGCTTGGGTAACATTCTTGCTTATTACATTTGTAATAAAATTGATGTAACTACTTTTTGCTCAGTTATTGCTTCACAGACAGCAGAGCTGTGAGAGTTAGCTGGATTATTTTTCCATTTAATCATTTATGGAATTGCTAATTAAATTCCAATTGCTGAAGCTTTATTAATGATAATGATGTGAAAGCCTGGAAAAAAAAAAAAACAGCTTGATTTTTCTGACTCAAGGCTGAATGTGTGTAACTGACCATTAGAAGAAAACTATTATTTCAGCATTTATTGTGCAATTCAGAGCTGGAATTACCAAGGAAGCACTTGGAATGCCAGAACATCCTCCTCACACTCACTTTTCAGCTTATTACCAAAAGCCATTTGCACACCCTAATTGGCAGACTGTCTTTAAGTGTTTTATAATTCAATTAACATCCAGAACTGCAATAAAGCATTTGAGTAAATGAAAGTGATTTGTCTTCAAGTGACTTGCAACACCGTATTTGCAAAAGGTTATCCAACTGTATTGTATGCTCTTTTTGATTGTTACACCAATTACTTGACTTTGGAAAGAGAATTGCTAATCTAGCAAAAACGTATTGCTTGTAGTGAAGATACATTGAACAAACTAAATTGCTGAGCCATTTTCTGGATTGGCACAGCGGGCCATCAGCTTTTCTGGATGCTTGCCATTTCCAAGGCTTTATGACTGTGTGGGATTTAATCCTGGTAATAATACCAGGTGAACTGCAAACCTCCTTTAGGTGTAAGCTCGTTACTTTGGAGCTGGTATTTTTCTCTGCAGTAAGGAGGAAGGGAGCAGAAGCATGCTTGAGCAACCACGAGGTCATAGCTCTACCTCCATCACCTCCCTTCAATCTCCAGAATGTCCTTTTCTTCTCCTCTGGTCATTTAGAAAACTGCCTAAGCTAGGAAACAGGTGTGACAGCCACCTATCCTAGCACCCCATTTCTAGAAGTGAGCAGTAGGGGATGCTTAGAGAGAAGTACAAGCACCAGAGCATGTACGGTTCAGTTCTTCTGTCTGTGCATACCCTTGCTGATTGCTCAAGACAGGGTTTACAGCAGCTGCATTTCACATTTAGATTACTGTGGGTAATATTGCTGACAGGCAATCAAGGGAGTATCTTCTTCTGGGTCTGTCCTACGTTGTTACCTGTCACAGCATCCTCAGTGAATGAATACTTCCATTTTATAACATGTCCTGCTTGTATGCAAAGTGTGCCACCTTGAAGTTTCAAAACGTGGAAGGAATTGGAGTTGACACCTTTAGCACATCACCTTCTGACCATGTAGACTGCCTTCTTTTTTCGTTTGTGTGAGCTTAGCCACCTGAGGGCAGCTGATGACTGCAAGGTGTTGTAGAACACTGGGGATATATCTCAGTCACAGGAAGATGATTTCAAAAAAAAAATATTTTTTTTTTTGAGAATTGAAAGTCTTAAACTTCTCTTGGTGGTGAGAAGTATATAAAGAAACTCTGAAGATCGCATCATTTAGTAAGGCCACAGTCTGGCAGTGTAGTTGTATTGAAACAGAGACTTTGGGTGCTGATAACATGATCACAGAGAAGCAAGGTAAAACTCTATTTTCCAAGAAACAGCCTAAATTCATGGTGAGACTCTTGAGGTCAGAAACAGGATCCACTTATCCTGAATTAAACAGCATCTGATATAGATGATGGTGTTTTTTTTCTCTTGCTCTATCTTATTGTTATTTGAAATAATTATGTTTCTGCATGAAGTCTCTTCACGGTTCGCTTCTACTGACAGATGCTGTTTCTGAGGCTAATTAGACCATGGAGTATGCCTGAGTAGTACAGCATTATTGCAGAGTAAACACTTTCATCCTTCATTCAGAACAATAATGACTTTGCCTTTGAGTTTGCTGCAAGGAAATAACTGCTATTGGGAACGTGTAGAGGCCATGCCAGGGGAGTCCTTGAATACTGTCCTTGGACTTCTGTGGTAAATAGCTGTTGCCTTGCCATGGCTCTGATTGTGGGGTCTGTGGCTAAGGCCAGGACCTGAGGCTCGGCAATTTTACACAAACTAATTGACCATCTCTGGTCAAGCATGGTAAGAGTATGCAGAGAAAATGGGTGCTCTTGCCAGTTGTTGTGGCACAGAGAACAGCAGCTTCACAGAAAAATCGCTTCTAACCTTTCAGATATGTGTTACTCTGATGAACTGTGGTCTTCAGGAGGTCTCTGGCCTGCCTTTCTCCATCCATGTGTTATAAATGAAGTCTCAACTCAATCTGAATTTTGTAATATTTATAAAACAAATATTTCTAAAAGGTATAAAAGCTATAAAAGCTATAAAAGGCAAGTAAACAGCGCTGGGTGTGCGGGCAGTCTATGCTCCACCAACACGCACACACGAACATCAAACCATTCTAAATACATGTATACAGAACATTGCTTTACATAATAACCCAAGTATGCCTATACATACGTACAATCAGGATAGGTAACAAACAATCCTTTAAGTTCCATAACTTAACAGTCTCCATTTTCCATTCTTCAGGCCTTATGTATCCCATTCTTCTCAGATTGAAGAAAAACATGTCCATCTCCTTGTGAAGGCCAAGAGGCCTGGGTCAAAAGGCACGTCCAGGTCAACAGGGGGGGGTAACAGCAAAAGCCTTCGATGGCTGTGGCAGCAGAGGGGCCCATGGCGTAGCAGTCGGATCAGTAAAGGAGCCCGCAGCTCCCTCACTGTCTGGCAAGCCACACGTTTGTGATTGTGGCTCCACACGGCTCTTTAAGGCCTCAGAGACTGCTTGCCAGGTGCCAAGCAATCCCACTGCAACCTTGCCATTTTTAGTTGCAGAGTCCCACACCTTGACATCAATTTGGTCCCGTATTTCAGGCCCATAAAATGTCCAATTGTTAATAAGGAGAATAAGCTGTAAGGCTACCAGGACAGTCTTTGTTCCTAAGGACGTATGATTCCCCATAATGCGCAGCTGCTTACCAGCGAGGGGCAGTTGTGTGCGCGGCTCCGCTTCTCTCAGCTCGAGCTTCTCTCCAGCTCCAGTGTGCCCATTTCCAGCGACTTTCTGTACGAGCTTCTCTGAGCAGTTTGCTGAGTTTGGCCGAACCTGTCTTCATGAGGCAATCAAAGTGCCTGTTCCCGTCCTGATCTCCATTCTGCCATCCTGTTCCTCTCCACTTCTTTTTCCTGCTGCTTTATTGATGTAACTTCATGTTGCCTTCTCTTTATCTTGAGGGCAGGCTCCCCTCTTATACCTTTCTCCCCACAGTTCTTTTCCAAGCAACTTTTCATTGATCAAACAACTTTGAATGTAACAACAAGAGCAAACACCCATAAACATCCATTCCTTAATGGCTGGAGAACAAGAAACCCCAGACAGCATGGAGTCTCCTGAATCACCCTTCTTTGTTCCCTCTAAACTCTTTTACATTCCTGATGGCCTCATCGTTAAGAGTCTAATGTTATCTCAACCATGGGGCTTTCCAACCCCCATGGCCACATTCCTAAATCTCCTCCTTCTGTATTAATATCAACCATTTTCTTGACATGAATTGCCACTCCATATATAACAGTATCAACTAGAATAGCTGGAAGGAGGGAGGAATGCAGCTGGCTGAGGGGACGAAGCCCTGACATGCAGAGACCATAGGGCAGCCCCTGCAGACCCAGTCATGGTTGGGCTGCGGCTCAGTTGAAGCAGCCACCTGTCCCTGGCCTCCCCATCACCTCAGGAGGCCAACGGGCACGCACACGATGCCCCCCATCACATGCACAGGGGAAATGCCTTCTGCAAGAGCAAGACACCGAATCACGGCAGCTGCTGGCGGCCTCTTCAAAATAATCATTTTCTGTGTGTAGATGAGGGCGAAGGCATCAAGCCGGCATTCATTCAGATGAGATAGGTGCTGCTTTCCCACAGTGCTAATTGTAGCTCCCTTTGCTTATTTCATGAGGGATCTGAGACCCAGCCCCTGTTTCCTAGCTAATCATTTCCTGGTGTCTCTCTGTGTGTATGCGTTGTCATCCTGGTAAAAGTGGCAGCTGAGTACCCAGAGGCAGAGTCCTGGTGCTTGGAGGCGGGCTGTGTCTTGCCTCAGTGCGGGTACTGGTCAATGGTGTGTTAGCAACAGACTTTTTGGTCAGTAAATGAGGTTTATTTGAAATATTTCTAGCACCTGCCCTCTGCTTTCACCCATCCATTTTCCGGTGCAAAGCCATAAGCTAGAAATGCTTTCTGAGAGTGACCTGTTAGCGCTTGCTCTAGCAAGCAAACAGCTCTTGCTGTTTCCCCTTCAACTTTTCCAAAAGAGCGTGGTGATGTGTTCTTGGGGTTTATCTGCTCTCTGCAAGGTGTCTTTAGGTATGCAGTTGCAGTTACCATGGAAGCAAATTACACACAAACACTTGGAGCAAGGCATATAACTGACAGAAGACAAGTTATGCTAAGCTAACACCAAGGCAGAACAAAGAGCCTGTGCATAAGGGCCCATAGGTGTGATTGTTGTGAGATTGCTGAGCCTTTGCCCCACAGAAGGACTCCAGTGTTTTTTTCATTATGTTTCTTAATAGTACTTGTGGCAGTTTTGAGTACTTGATAAAGCATCTGGGCTTTTTTTTTTTTTTCCCTTTTGCAGCTCTCCATGAATTCCCCAATGACATCTTTACAAACGAGGACAGGAGGCATGGAGCTGTCATCCTGCACGTCCTTTGTGTAAGTTTTGTGACTGCATTTGTTTTCCTATCAGTTTGGACTGGATTCGGTATGTTTGCTGACAGCTGATACCGCTCCCTACCCACAGTGTTTTCTGCTCTTGCACACGGACATTCCCCTTCTGTTCTCAGTCATGGTTGAGAGTGAGTTTTAGTGACTCATCTGAGTATAGTGTTAATGCTCTCTTCTTAGTTTTTACAATAACTCCTAAAAGGCCAACCAACTGCAGCCCCTGAATGCATGCTGTCAGCTGAATGAACTCATGCAAAGGGCTTCACTGAAGCTATTGGGCAGCTGTGCAGTGCTGCCAGCAGAGCAGCGCAACCCCACGCTGCCAAATGCTGCTGTGCAAGGAGATGCTTCCAGGTTGGTGGGACAAGGAGAACGTTCTCTGGCACATGGGACATGCTGGGACAGTTTGGTGAAGTTATCAAGTCCTGGCTGCTGGCTTTTGCAGGCACTCTCCAGAGGGTGGCATCAAACAAATGTGCCCCACTGCACTGTTGTCTCGCTGATTTTTGACCCTTTCACTGTCTTTATTATACTTGGCCAAATGCAGAGCTTAGAGACATGCTAAGTTAAACAACAGGCCAAAAACAAAACAAAACAAAAACCTCTCTCAAGTTGCTGAGGTGAGTATTTACTTCCTAAATACATCTAAGAAGTGATCATAACTTCACATTTGCACAGTGGTCCTGGATTCGTCTGTGAATTCTAGAAAATGTTGGGCTTCAAAGTTCAGAAATGGGCCAGCAAGATTTTAATAAATGCTGTTTTTAAAGTCTTACTAGTCAAAAAGGTGTGCAGTTTTGGGCTTGGAGTTTTGTGATCTCTGCTCCAAGCAAGTCATTGTAAACACGGTGTATGAGCAAGGTCAAAATTCAGGATACTGGAAATAAATTTACTTGGATATAACCGTGGTGTGTTAGGTCACAAGACACTGTTACAAGTCCATACAGGCAGCTGCAGTAATCTCACAGAAGGAAGCACTTTCCCTCCAGATCATTTTTTCAACTTTTGTTGAAAAAGACGATTCTTTTCTTTAATGTCTCCTAAATTTACGAAGTGCTGCCAACTTGGTACTCGTCAAGGGGGAGAAGACATTCTTAAGCAGCAAAGAAAATACCTGCTTGTAATGAATGAAAAGCATCTTATAATTTTTAGTCAACTTAAATGAGCAGTCACCATTAACTATGTTGAGTGATTCATGGTTTCTCTTTAAAGATAAATTAGATTGTATTGCATCATGTAATGTGAGTGCTCTGTTATGATCTTATTTCGGCTAAACGGCTACAATAAATTGTTGAGTAATATCACTATTGACTTTGGCAAGCCAAAGGTTTCCAAGGTTCTATGGGAACAGTTAACTGTTGGATGTTTTAGAAAGCAAACCCTGGACCTAAGCTGGATTCTTCAGCACCCACAAGAATACTCCCAAAAAATCCAGATAAACCATCTCTCAGAGTCATGCGTTGCTGCAGCTAGTCACCCAGAGCTGCTCTGTGTTTAGTGGAGAGAAAGACATCTTCAGTGGATCTTCAGCTGCCCCATTGTAGATGTGGGGTAAAGGCCACAGGTTGGGTTTCACCTGCCTGTCTGTGGTCCACTCTGCAGGTCCTCCCCTACCTCTGTGCGTGCCCACTTCAGCTGCGAGCCACAGGACCACCGGCTGCTAAACCACCATGGCCACCATGCATGGGCAGCTTGAAAAGCCCCGCGCCACCAGGATCAGATTTCCGCGTTGTGCAAGCTCTGTGCCCTCCTGGCACCAACTGCTGGACTGGTGCCCTTCTCCAAGGGCCTGGTGCGGAGCTTGGGCTTGTGTTTAAATGGCGTGGGGAACGGTGCTCCTGGGATTAAGTGGTTCTCAATGAACAGCCATGGAGAACATTCATGTGTCCCAGACAGCCTTGGCCTGCCGTTTCCTAATTTCAGAACGTTTGTCAGTTTTACTGTCACAGTCAGCATGTTGCGCGGCGCCTTGTGTGGAATTTCACACACGATGTAACATGCATCTTGGCCAATGGGTTTTATTTGTTTGTTTGCATGCTAGATGCTGATTATTTGTTTCTCTTGCAGTGTTCGTAGCCTCACACAGTTTTTGTGTTTTGACATGGAAAGGTCACTCTTGATTGTTTGTTAATGCAAGAAGCTGTATTATCTGCTCTTAATCTGTATGGCAAATGTGTAAACCACATCACGAGGTCTTGGAAAATACTGGTACATAGTTTGTCCCCTTGTAACTCTACTGTGGGTAATATAGAAAAGTGTTATGAGAGTTTTTTAAGAAAAGGCTTACATTCTTATAGTTAAATTCATCTCTGTATATGAAAAACAGCTTGCAGACTCTTGTGTAGCCACTCTAAGCAAAATATGATGTTTATAATAACATGCTCTTGCCTTGTAAACTTGTGTTTCTTAGATTTCAACACAAAAAATGTTTAAAAAAAAACAACCCTGGAGTTACAGGAATAATTTTATAATGAGACCATGAAAAATAAGGGTTGCTAAAGTAATTCTTAATCTCAGTGGAATCTGTACCTCAACATGTGTTTTTCCAGGCTTTTTAAAAGAGGCAAGACCTGGACTGTATTTTTTCAGTATTAGTAACAGTGAAATCACACAGTATTCTCATACAGTTGACTACATAAACTGTGAATTGGGCTGTTTTCCAGTCTATTTCAAATTATGATTTGGGCTTCATAATTGCTCTCAAGATAATTTGTTTTTCCACAGCCTTTTTGTCAGCTCTGAACAAGCTGAACATACTTTAACATACAACAAAGCAGATTTTTGAGGACTGAAAATCAAAGGTGAACTACCTGCTTCAGAATAAAAAGAAAAATCTGTTTTTAGTAAGAACTAGATGTAAGCATCTGTTGTCCCAACAGAAGCATGTCTGGTCACTTCCCCTCTAGCAAGCAGATGCTTCAGTCCCTTGGTGCGCTCTGGTTCCCTTCAGTAGCTTTATTGGCTCTGAATAATGTGGTGGGTGGAACGGATGATCCCTGCCCAGCTAGCAGGACTGCCCATGGGCTGTCTTGTCCAGAAACCCACCACAGACAAGTCTGCGTTCAGACGGGCATGCTCCAGAACTACGCGGCTCCAGACAAACCCTCGCTGCTGAGGCTGCTGGAAGGTGTACAGCCCATGACCACGGGCATCAGCTGAGAAGTTTCCCGGTGTCTTTCTGCCCTGAGCTGTGAACTTGTGAATCCCCAGGACAAACTTTCCTGTCTTTGGGCCTGGTCCAGCCTGTTGGATGCAGTAGGAAGCAGACAGAGCAATGGCAAATGCTTTGTCTCCTCTTACCGTGGAGTATCTGTAACCTGTTGTCAAAGAGAGAACTGATACTTTGAAAAAAGACAACTGTCAACTTTTAGCAACCTGTCTCTTTAGTCTTGATTGAAAGGGGTTGTCATCGTATTGGGGTAATCAATCTCCAATTCTGATTTTACCCTCAAGCAATTCAGTTACCAAATGTCTGATCAAATTAGAGCACGCACAGAACTGCACTTTGTAGGAAAAGATGCAGAAAGAACCAACTGTCTCTGCAGGTTTGAGGAGACCGAGCTGTAAAATGAAAGAGACTTTGTTAAACTGTTTTTATTTATTTTACTAAAACCTTGTTCTCTTTCTCCCAATCCCCTTTTGCCAACATTTTTATGTTACTTTCTAAAAGACATCAAGGTAAAACTTGTTTATCAAAAAAAAAACAGAGAACCAGGGGTCAAATTGTATGAACTGGGACTTTGGGGGGATGCATTAAATAGCCTTTCAGGGGATTCCCAAGGCATCTTCCCCCTATTGTTTAATGACAGTGAAAACAGAAAGTCTTACACCTCAGCACATCCTGCAGTGAGGCTGTGAAGAATTACTTAACGTGTTCTGATGTTTCACAAAGATAATAGTAACTTACTAAACACTTTAAAAACCTAAGAGCAACTGGGCAGGAGCAATTTAGCAATAGTTTTAGTCAGTAGAAATGTAAAACACTTCAGTTCAAGAGGAAAGTGGGCCAATGAAAATGTATTGCTGGTTTGGAGCTATAATGTTTAATTTTCCCCTAGGTAATTCTTCAGAGCTCATCAGCTGATTGCTTGACTGCTATTAATGATTGTCATGTCCTCTCTGAGAAGAGGGCATGTTATCACAAACAACATCATGCCCACTAAATCACTCATTTGGGATGTTCAAATGGGAGGGAACCAGGGTCTGGCTTTTTAGAGTCCAGTGCTGTTCGTTACTAAAGGATTAAACATAAAGCCTCCAATCTGGGAGTGCCCCGGTACTTGAGAGCTTCATTTTGAAATCTTAACGTTGTCCCCAAAGGGATGTAGATTTCTAGATGTTCTCATAGCATTTTACCTTTTTTGATTTGTTCTGGTGGATTCATGCTGATGCCTGTGTGGACACTCAGTGGTAGGCACCTGGTACTTCCAGAACCAGGGGCGGGAGATGGTTTCACTCAGGCACTTGTAATATGAGTGCTTGCAGCAGAAGGAGGGTTTGGGTGTTGCTGTGGGTTCCCCCAGAAGAGCCCAGAGGGATGGGCACTACCTTTCCTCCCAACTGCAGACTGGTCCCAGAACGTGCTGATCCCCATTTCATTGCAGTCTTGTGCACGGTGTCCCCTTTTCCCAGTGCTCTGCAGTGCCAGAACACGAGCCGTCTGCGTGTGCCTGCGTGGGTATGCGTCTTGGTGTGCAGCAGCAGGTGAGCTCCTGCCAGAGCCCAGGCATGAGTGGCTGCAGGGATCCTTCCTGCCTGCACCTGCAGAGGTTTGTCGGGGGAACAGCTCTGGGAATGAGCTGCACTAACAGGGCTCCTGCCAATGGCTGCAAGCGGCTCAGAAAATTCAGGTCACTCTGTACCCGTCCTGTCTTTCCTTGTTGCCATGTCAGAGACCGGCCAGATCGTGTTTCTCTGTCACAGAGATGTCTCCTTCTGCTGATGGTTTTGTGGTGCCCTAAACACACTTACTTTACTGATGACATGCA